AAAAAATCACAATAATTATGTAAAAATAATAAAATTATAAAATTATAAAATTAATAAAATTTAAATAAATATAAATTGGTTATTTTTAATTCCGATTTGCTTGGCTGATTTTAGGCTGATTTAGGTTGATTGATGATCAAATTTAGGTAATTTTTAGGCCAATTTTAGATAGCCGATTGATAACCGATTGATATTTCCGATTGACTCATTTTGTGTCAATCGGAATTAATGCAAATCAGCCCTAAATTGGTCATCAATCATCCATCAATTGTCTGTCCGATTTTTAGCTGATTTGTATCCATTTCGATTAGTGTTGCGTATTTTAGTATTTTTTTAGATTTTTTTTTCAATTTACGATACAAATAAAATACTGCGGCTAGACTGCATCATTAACAATTAAAAAAAAATTATTTTGACTAGTGGATTATCATACTTATAAAAAAATTAGGTATTAAATTAATTGTTTTATTTTTTGATTTTAATTTGATTTTTAATAAAAATTCTTTTGTTATACTTTTTTTTACAAATTTGGTGAAAATTATTCATTTTTGAAGTCTTAATTAAAGTCATAATTTTACTTTGAAAATTTTAAAACTCAATTAATAAAAATTTTTCTTTAAAACTAATTTTATAAATCCTATTAAAGCTTAATATAGCTGTGTGATTAAATCTTAATAAAATTATCAAAAATAGATAAGAAATTTTTTAAAAAGATAAAAATTACTATCATGTAATAAATTGGTAAAACTGATTGGGTATAAAAAATTTTTAAAAAATTTCAATTTTTTATAAATATAGATGAGAACTGAATTCATAATAATATTCCGGATAAATTTACCTATATTGCTTATTATTTAAGGGATATTAATCAATAATATCAGTGATAGTATTATAATTAATATGTGATTATAAAAAGGTTTTTATATCTAAAAAATTCAGAATCAAATATAGTGTGCTTATAAAGAGGGTGTGATTATATAAAGTGTGATTATATAGAGGGATGGCTGTACTTCTTAAATATCTGTTTAAATAATTTTTTTATTTTTAGTATTAATATTACCTTGAAAATTCGAGTCGAATCTGGGTTAAACAATAATCAGTCAGGTCGAATCTGATTTGAATAATATTCGGGTCAAGTCGAGTTTGGTTTCTGTAAATATTAACGGATTTGAATTCAATTATCTGACCTTACCCTTACGGAGTATTACCATTAATTAAATTAATAAAACGTTATAAGTTAGAGTTTAGAGTTTTTAATTTTGTAGATCAAAAAAAAAACTTTTAGATATACGAATTCGGATTTTTTTGATCAAAATTAATCTATTCATTCTATATTAAAAACAAACAATTTACACATGTATTGTATTTCAAGTAATAATTTGTTCTTTTATTTTAAAAATAAAAGATTCTTTTAAATCGCAATGAAATAAATGGAGTATATCAATAAGTTAGGTGAGAATGAAGCGTCAAACTTGAATTTGGTTTTAAAAAGATCGGTGGATATTAATTTTATTTTTTATTTTAATATTTTTAAAAAAGAAAAAACATTACTTACCTTCGATTCTCATTTAATTCAAAAATTTCAGGATTTCGGAGAGTTTCGGCTACCTGCAAAGAGAGGTAAGTAAATATTAATTTTTTTTTAATAATTTTAAAAAAAAAATATATTAACTCCGATTCTCATTCAATACAGAATTCCAGGATTCCAGGAGCTTAGGCAACCCAACCTACAAAGAGAGGTAAGTAAACATTAATTTTTTTTATATTATTTTTAAAAAAAAGATTATTACTTACCACCGATTCTCATTAATCCGGGAACTGCAGTAAGAGCAGTTCTATAAATTGGGTGGGCTTATATAACATTGTCGATCATCCGATCAGAAATAAAATTTGCGTCTGATAAAGCAAAAATAATGTGACGTAATCGTGATTTCCGTTAAATGATAAAAAAATGACTATTGCACAAAATTAATTATGCTTCATTGAATTAATTTTATTAAGAAATCAAATGTCCAAATACGGAAAATTTATTGAGTGGATAAAATATGAGGTTTTCGGATCGAGACCTTTTATTATTTCATAACATAAGAACAGGTACATATACGTATTGCATGACATGCACATAATGCATTAATAGTTTTATTAATGGAACGATTTTCCTCCAACAAACCAAAAAAAAAAAAAAAAAAACAACGCATGAGAAATACTTATTAAATTTTGTGCCAAAAAAAATTTTCCTATCCTATAATTTATTTTCTTTATAAAAAAAATTAATCAATTTCAATATGAAAACATTACTTGTATTTTATTTAATATTATTTTTGTATATCGTGAAATACAACAACAACGTATTAGCACAGAAAACTTGTAAAAAGATTGACGATAGTTGTAATGAATGTGTTGTTAGAGCCTTGTTTTTTCAAAATTGATTTTACAAGCACAACTTTTGGAGATTAATGGGGTTTAGGTAATATAAATAATAATAAGGAATTCGAAATTTTCGTTATTTGAGCTAATCCAATATTTATTTTCAGATACGTGGCAAATTCCAAAATGTATGTGTAGTCAAGATTTTTATAATAATCTTGTTTCTTGTGGAAAATCGTGTGATCAAGCTATTGACGAACCATCAAAATTTGAATCCGATTGTAGAATTGGAAATCACCCAATACAACTCGAAAAAGGAGGGTATGTATGTTCTTAAAATATTTTCCTTTTGTTTAATTTCAATTTTAATTAATCTAGATCATTTCTTCATTTTCTTTTAGAAATACAAATGAAACGCCGCAAAAGAACGATACAAATGCAAACCAAATTCCCACATCAAATTCGAATTCGAATTCATCGCCTCTAAGTTTTGTTGCAACGATTGGAACTGTAGTAGGAGTTTTAACAGGAATTGTGGGATTAATTACCGCACTTATTATACTTAGAAAGAAACTTAAAGAAAGAAATAATAACAATAACAATGTCAATTAAGAATGTATTTTTAATTTTTGAAATTTATATTATAATAAAACACTATTTCGTAGCTTATTCTTTAATTTGCACTTTTATTATCCTGAAAATCTTTTAAATATAAACATTGTATCAATGCCGCAATATAATAATTGTAAACAATCTTTTCACAAATAATAAATGTTCCTCGATAATTTGATCTTACATAACACATATGTTCAGCCACAGTATGCATGCATGTATTGGGGCTGAGAAACATTTAATAAAAAAAGATCAGAGTGATTGACAATCTGGTAACATACAAATTCAGTAATCCTGAATGAAATTTCGGAGTTTCAATGTTTAAGAAACTTCTTGCATAATTCATCTTTTTTTTTCATTTCAAAAACCCGAAAGAGGATCTTTACACACGACAGAAATCAGTAAGAATTAAGTACTTACAATGAATTTTTGTTTTACACATTAGGCCTTATTTACTTTATTTTGGTGAATGAATTTAAATTTAAATAGTCTTGAAAATGAATCAAAGTCATCAAAATCATCAAAAAAATTCACTTTGATTTTATCAAAAAATTTTCACCTATTTTTATAAATACAATAAAAAATGTCAACCAAAGCAAAAACGATCTATTTCCTTATTCTTTTTCTTTTCATAATTGATTGTCGAGCATTTACAGATAACGCAGAAAAGTTCGATGCGATACTTGGACAGGATTTTAAACGCTCTACAATTAATGAAAGGCTCGGAGATGATGTAAGCTTTATTTATAGTATTTAATTATTTTTTGAAGCATAAAACACTTAAACTTACCTATATGAATTATTTTATCAGAAAAAATTTAAAAGAGATGGTCATCTTAACGACGTAATTTTTACCGAATCAAAGGCGGAATATTCTCCTAGAAAGAGACAGATTAATAATACTGGTAATAATAATGACAATAATAATGGAAACAACAACGGAAACAATAATGAAAACAACAACAATAACAATAATGGAAACAACAACAACAACAACAATGGCAATAATAGCAACAATAACAATGGCAACAACAGCAACAACACCAATGAAAATATCGACAACGACGTTTGTAACAACATTGGCAATGTCGGTAATAGTAAAGGTAATTGCAATCAGGGTACGATTATTAGTACTGGCACTCGAGTATATTTAAAAGATACAGGGCCTATTTTTGGTGCAATAACTTCAGTGATTAGCGTTGGATTCCTTATATTAGCGTAAAATATATTTATATTTAATTATTCATAAAATATTCATTAGGGATGTTAAGAATGTACTTCTCCTAATTTTTATATTCATACTAAGATTAATAAAGTTGAAGTTCATTTGCATTATAATTTAATAGAGTACTAATTTTTCCACTGCGGCGAAAGCTCAATCGTACAAATATATATAAATGAAAAAAATCGGAATGTATTTTTTGCAATTAACCCTCCATCATTTCTCGTTCTTTAAACAGATAATGATAGAGAAGACAAAAATAAACTTCAGTTCGTTCATTTATATTTCGTCAATATTATTGGTTAAAAATCTATCGTCAATAACAATTTTCGTGTTTTGGAATTTTAATTTATTAAATAAATAATATACTGTATGTGAAAAAAATTTTAATTTTTAACAAAATAATCACAAAAAAAATATTAAAAATTTATGTTCGAATCAATAAAATAAAAACAGGAAAAGCTCTTATTTTTTTCCTTTTTATTCTTTTTTATTATGAACCGTACCGATAAAACAATGTAATAATCATCGCCTATTAATGCCGCATTGCATAATATTAAAGTTACTCGAGGTGCATAAAACATTTAAAATTACTATAAATGAAAAAGTAATAAATATGCCACTGATGGTAGGACTGATTTTCATGATTTATTATTCATTGGGTAACATACCGCATTAAATTAAGTAAATCAGAATGGAGTTTCGAGTTTTAGTAGTAGAAGCAATAACTTTTAGTGTTCTTAATCTTATACATAGTGGATAATCTCCTTATTTATAAGATTGATATATTTGTATTTATAATTTAATAACAATGCAAGCAATGAAGTATGTGATGGTTATAAAAATTTTGTACTACCGAAAAAAAATATTTTCCAAAAAAAAATTTTATAATTACACTATTGTTGCACGCAGTTCGAAACGTTTATAGTTATAAACAATAGAAAAGGTAAGCAGAAGGTTTATTTATAAAAATGAATTAAGTGTCTTTATTAATAACAAATGAATCTAACATAAATCTACGTAAATAAAGTATTGCCTCAA